TAACTTAGCCGTGTAAGTGTCCATGGAGAGTTGTCATGTAAACTGACCGCAATAATAGTGAACGCTACAGATGCCCACTTTCACTGTTCCTATTTAACTTTGCCAGAGACGTATTAATGGACATAACCTTAGGCACATGTGACTTCACTGGGATTGGTCTACTGTCTGTGGGCTATCTGGTTGACTTGAAGCATGAAGAAGATATTATCCTACCGCGTGAAGATGGTGAAAAAATGCGGGTCTTGTGAAACAGTTAAGCAGAAATCTGAGTATGCTTGGCAGGCGTTTCGCTGGCACCTGTCAAATGTAAGACGATACTCCAGCACTGTTCTGCTGCAAGTGCTCCTAGCTTAATGATAGGGAGTGAAGTGGTGGAATATGTCGACCACCCCACTTAATTGGACGGTTGCATCAGCCCGCTGAACGAAGTGATGGGTTGTTGACGAAACCTCAGCTTGAATACAGAAGGCCCGATCGACATTTGGTGATCTGCATCTTATCCGGTGCCGACTTGTGAAATATCCGACTATCTATTAGGGACGAGTATATTGCCCTGCAGCCTGCTGCCAGACATGAACGTTGAAAGTAGAAGACATGAAGCGGCTACAGGCTTTTGATCATAGTTGTCTTCGTAGTATTGCACGAATTCCGTTAAACCATAGTTTGAGCAACTATGGGGTCAAGCAAAGAGTAGTGGGTGAGACAGGTAAATCGACTGATGGGGTTGTGAATCTTCATCGACCGAGATCTCTTGAACATACACTGCACATGCCGATCCACTAGCTTCATCTAAGTTGGATGCAGCGGAAGACTGGATTCTGTTGAAAGAGTGTTCAGTGTGACAAGACTTAGATGTAGCACCAGTTAGTGATGGCTCTTACTGTATGGATAAGCCACGCGGGGGGTGTAGACTGTCTGGTAGGCGTCTTCGAGACGACAGGAGTCGGTGGTAGAGAACTCCTGGTGACGTGGCTGGAAACTGGTTGCAGTAATGCAGGTGTTTTAGCTCCTTGACATTGTGGCGACCAAACTGAAGTGGTTTCAAGTTCATTTCCGTGATGATATTCATTTTCATGATATCATTTTCTTTTGTACGCCCCTAGAGATTTCAACTGACACTTCGATTCAAACTCTTTCTTCTGTTATTAGCCTTTAGTCATCCTCCCTCCTGCACTAACCATTAAGACACTGTGTCGAAACCGGTCGTCGTCCTTTCCTACTGAAATAAAAGCGAAATTGAATATAATCAGACTAAAGCTGCCTTTACCAAAGCATGGATCAGGCAAACTGCAAACTGTATCCTCTGCTTAGGAGAAACGCTAACTGGCTACTAAAGAGTCACTGCAGTCTTATCAAGTAGCTTACTCAGGTGTTTTATAAGATCTAGGGAATAACAAGTTGCGACATTCACTGGTCAAATGATATTGATAATCCATGTTATTCACAAATCATTACATCTGACCATCTCGACAAATACACGGTTTTGTTTGATTGTTCAGAAAATCGAGCAGTCTGTGTAATTCATTTTAATATGCAGCCACTTCTGAGGCTTCCATGGATATATTGTGACATCATCTCCTTTGTAAATTAACTTGCCACTCATAATCGTTATTGACAGCCACATTTCTAGATCATGACTAAAACCGAGGTGTTTTTTTAACCTCTAAAATTATCAAGCTCACTTCAATCATTTACCAACTGCTAAACAGAAGTTGTATGAAAAAACTGAATTTCATTGGCTATATTGTTCGTCCTACCCAGAGAACCTTCAGTGTTGACTTATTTCGAAGCCTTAGATCGCAGATCACACAATGATCACTGACTCATTTCTCTATTCATTCATTATATGTCATCCTTCTGTGCTATCTGCAAGAAATGAATTTTATGATGTTGTCTTAAACCAACATCTGCAAGCATGCAAGTAATATGTATCCAAATAAAGCACTTTTGAAAGTCCCTTAGAGAAGATGAGAAATCTAATCAGCTGGTTAAGAGAACCTCTACTTTCTACAATAATACTACAAGTGATTGTCAAATACGGATGTATGTAGAAAGGAATTTTGTGATTCATTCTAGTCCTCGACAATATGATAGGTTGAAAATAATGAACTTAATCGGTAATTGAGGATCTCCGAATGAAGAGAATAACAGCTTTATGAGGTACGTGTGTTTCACATCTCAAGCAAAGAGTAGTTTATCTAGTAGATGTTTTCACAATTGAAGATATATGCTATGAAGCACAAAGTATTCATATATGAATCAGTTTATCAGTTAGATTTTGTGTTTTTTTTCGAAAATTTCCCTTGTTTCTTGTGAAAATGTGCTAGAATGAATGAAACCGTTTTTCACATACTCCAAAGCGGTGCTGAATTTCTTGAAATAGTGCCTCGATTGCGATACTTAATATTTGAACTATCAGAAAAGGAGCATGCTAATTTCCTCATACGACTGTAATTTTCTTACTTCTACTATTCTTAAAGACAGATTAAATCCTACAAGTATGAAGATAGAAAGGCCGCAATCATGGATGTTATTTATCTTCTGTTACCTGACCATAATGTATAGAAGCTCTACTGTGTAATTACGAGGTATCGCATCCATGCAAGGGTGTTATAAAGCAGTCTTTGATGATTTGTGTGACATACATTACTGTGAAATATTTACAGTTAAAGCACTCGATAGAAATATTTTCTATTAAAATTTGATGTGACTGGGCAGGATCATTTCGTATTACCTCTAGTCTTTGTAAGTTTATTCTTGTAAACTTTAATAGACTGATGACAATATCAGACATGACACGTTTCAAGAGTATATTATTATTTTTCCCTTGGGTTTCTAGTGAAACATACGGCTTCAGTAGTACGCCTCCATTCCACTCTCTTCTCTCCAGTCTTCTCAACCTAGCATCACAACTGCCAAACACCTTTCATTTCTTACGCACACATCATCTCCTCCATATCACTCTCGCCTCCGATGCGATGCCCAACTCGTCATTTCATCTTTGCATTCCACTCAACAGACTAGCCTGTAGCCTGATGTCCACAATCGATCTTCTCAGTGTATGCCCAACGCAATCCATCTCCATTCTCTGATTCTGCATAGTTGTTGGGTGATAGCTTCTCACTTCGTTGCTTCGTTACCAGCCAGCCAGAGTTCCTTGTTGCTTATTTTTTCTGGTCATCCATCTGATCTTGAGTATCGAGTGAGCATAGGCAGCATCTGTTGATGATGCATGTGTGTAGTTTGTTGAAAATGCTTTTTGTGACACGCCAAGTTTCTGCACCATATAACAGCACTGACTTACTTGACTGAATTTGTGTTGACGATCCGGATGTTGTTGACGCTTTATGCTGAGTGGAGTGCAGTAGATCTCCACACTGATTTCAGATTGGTGAAAGCGTGTCTTGCTGTCTTTCTGATGCTGGCTGGTTTTGACATCCTCAGCTGTGTCTATACCGCCTATGGTCGAAACGATGCTGCCTAGGTTGGTGGGTAGGTGAAAGAGACTACTTCGTTTAGCTTTTTCCCGCTCATGGTGGTTGGTGCTTGTTGTTGATGCTGTTGTTGGTTGAATATCTTCATCACCTCTATCTTCTCTACATCCACTTGAAGTCCTGTTTTCGCTGCTCTGCCTCTTCTGTCAACCTGTTAGTTTTCGCCTGTAGATCTTCGAGTTTGTTCGACATTAAACATAAATCATCGTGGGTGAAATCCAAATCCATCCAGTATATGCACATCTTCTCACAGCTTCTCATGGTTTGCTGTATTATCCATTTCACTACAATCAAGAAGATCATAGGTGATATTAGACAGCTTTGGAAAGTATACATAATTTATTTAATGAAACGAAATGTACCTTTATTCAACTGTCTGAAATGGATTTATAAATGTCTATCATTCTCACATTCATCTTTAAAATATAGATTGATTTGAACTATTCACACGAGAAAGTTATTTCATTTCTTGATCATTAAAGTGTCATAAAATGAAGTAATTGTGTAAATGCTTTCAAAAATTTCATAGTTTAGAAGTTGTAATGTTTAAAAAAATGTTACAATAATCAAATTTCGAATAGTCTCTTTGATGATTATGAAATGTCAAAGAGTTTCGAAGAAGAATTCATCTGAAATATACTTAACCACGTGTACAGTAGAGATTATTATGATAATTCAAAACATTATTTATTTCAAGTTGTTATTCATCGAAGACTGACATCAGTTGGAGGAACAAAGGAAACCTGGGAGTACTGGATAGCTGTTTCGTCCTAGTATGGGACTCCTCAGCAGTGCGCACCCACGACCCCACCCCACCAGGGATCAAACCCGCGACCTTCAGGTTCCGCGACCAGCGCGTTACCATTGAGCTCCATATTTCCAACTTCTGTTAGCTCACGATATAGCGCAAACCGCCACCCAATATCATCGTGGGTGCGCACTGCTGAGGAGTCCCATACTAGGACGAAACAGTTGTCCAGTGCTCCTAGGTTTCCTTTGTTCCTCCAACTGATGTCAGTCTACGATGAATAACAACTTGAAATATTTCCAAATCTCCACAACCCCGTCAAAAAAACAACATTATTTATTGTCAGTTGACAAGCATTTAAGGTTTTAAATCTATTCAAACGAAACATATTAATATATACCAATAGGTGTTTAACTTATTGACGTAATTAAAACAAGATGTAATGTACTGAATGATACATAACATCTTAATATATATTCTGTTTTCTTTCAATACATTTTTGTAGTTACGATAAATAGGAAATACAGTGAAACATATGTCTCTTCGAAGAAAACTACTTTGGAGTAATCGCCTACAATTGAAGTTGATCTCTGCACTTATCCTAATACTCACTTGCTATTATATCATCTTAACTCATTTCATTATTCCTAATAAATATTCGTTTACTTCAGAAATTGTTTGTAAAAATAATGATGTACTTTATACACATGGTGTTCATATTATCATTCTATGTAATGTTATTATTGATCCATCAAAAGTTATTGGAGCGATTGTGGAGAAAATATAACAGAAGTTGCTAATCAACCAGAATCATATGAATTGCTACAATTCAATTATGGATTTATCACAACAAGTGAAATTAAAGGAATTAAAATGTTAGTGACATTTTGATGTATATTTTCATGTTGTTACTAAACTTCCTTGTGATATGATGATCTCAGTGGATATAGAAATACCTACAGACTAAGTGTTCCACCACCATTCTAATAACCACACAGTCACTCAATCTGCTCTCTGCTACAACAGAGAACTTCATGACTACTAACTAAACATACAAACAAAGCTAAGCTTATGTAGATGGGCCCACAATTGAGAATGGAACTTCACTTCCTTAAGTACTTTGTAATCATAAGTTGTAACACCTCTCATTACCTATGTTGAAATTCATCTCCCATTATGCAGAACACACAGGGTAACTGATGGAAACTTAATTCCATGTGAACTGCAGCATCTACCTCAGTCACAATCAAATCTCACAAAGTGAAACTGAGGTGAAGTTATGTCAACGGTGACAGGATTATTCATTATGAGGAACAAGATTCCCAATTACAAGGATAGATTGTAATAGATTGAAGAATGGTGCTTATAGAATGTATGCTAAGGTGAACAAGTCAGATTGAAATAATATGCAGACGTATGGTGAAGTCAGTTGGTGTACAAATGTCTCCTGCATGCAGATTGATGTTGAGGGGTGTCAAATACTGGTGAAAACCTGTCTTGCTGTCTTTCCGATGCTGGCTGGTTTTGACCTCCTCGTCTGTGCTTGTACCGCGTGTAGTTGAAAAGATGCTACCTCGTAGGAGTGTGGGAAGGTAGGTAGGTAGGTAGGTAGGTAGGTAGGTAGGTAGGTGTGGGGTGGGGTGGTAGGTAGGTAGGTAGGTAGGTAGGTAGGTGTGGGGTGGGGTGGTAGGTAGGTAGGTAGGTAGGTAGGTAGGTGTGTAGGTAGGTAGGTAGGTAGGTAGGTAGGTGTGTAGGTAGGTAGGTAGGTAGGTAGGTAGGTGTGTAGGTAGGTAGGTAGGTAGGTGTGTAGGTAGGTAGGTGGGTAGGTAGGTAAGATTCCGAATTACGAGGACAGATTGTAATAGATTGAACAATGGTGCTTATAGAATGTATGCTAAGGTGAACAAGTCAGATTGAAATAATATGCAGACCTATGGTGAAGTCAGTTGGTGTACAAATGTCTCCTGCATGCAGATTCATGTTGAGAGGTGTCAAATACTTCCAAATGTTCTGTGAGAGACGAAGTGGTTCAATGTAGATTATAAGTTGAATACAGTCTGAGTCGTTAACATGTGGTGACCTTATAGGCTACTCGAGAAACTCCTCAAATAATTGATTAGCCATTTTAAGCTGTGAAAACTCCCTCACAATCCGAAATAACTAACGGTAACTGGCATCAATTTCACAGTCAATTGTCATCAATAATCACTCACAGATATCCGCCGACTATTGTTCACAACGATGTTTCTCATTGAAATATTTGATGATTGATCAGAAAATACAAATGTGCTATGAAATTCTCACCTGTTGAATTTATTATTTTATTATTATTATTTCTTTTCTTTTGGTTCCTAGTAGGAACGTAGTACGTCAGTAGCACGCCTCCATTCCACTCTCTTCTCTCCAGTCTTTTCAAACTAGCACCACAACTGCCAAAAACCTTTCATTTCTTACTCACACATCATCTCCTCCATATCACTCTCGCCTCCGATGCGATGCCCAACTCGTCATTTCACCTTTGCATTCCACTCAACAGACTGGCCTGTAGCCTGATGTCCACAATCGATCTTCTCAGTGTATGCCCAATGCAATCCATCTCCATTCTCTGATTCTGCATAGTTGTTGGGTGATAGCTTCTCACTTCGTTGCTTCGTTTTTAGAGTTCCTTGTTGCTTATTTTTTTCTGGTCATCCATCTGATCTTGAGTATTGAGTGAGCATAGGCAGCATCTGTTGATGACGAATGTGTGTAGTTTGTTGAAAATGCTTTTTGTGACACGCCAAGTTTCTGCACCATATAACAGCACTGACTTACTTGACTGAATTTGTGTTGACGATCCGGATGTTGTTGACGCTTTATGCTGAGTGGAGTGCAGTAGATCTCCACACTGATTTTAGATTGGTGAAAGCGTGTCTTGCTGTCTTTCTGATGCTGGCTGGTTTTGACATTCTCGTCTGCGGCTGTACCGCCTGTAGTTGAAACGATGCTACCTCGTAGGTAGGTGTGTGTGTAGGTAGGTGGGTAGGTAGTTAGGTAGGTGGGTAGGTGAAAAGACTATTCAGTGGATAGTGTTCAGATTCCGTTGCCACCTCTATGTAACAGAATGCTAGAATGTATTAAATGTATAATTAAATTTCTCTATTAACCATTATGCATAATGGAGTGAAAGATTATCGATTTAACAAGTTGAATACTTTTGTAATGTGAATGATCTTTTGTTTTGATAGAAACTACTTGTATATGCTTGTTGACCTGAGTGAACAACGGAATTAAGGAGATAGGTAAAAGAGAACTTGTTATTGTATATCGTTAAGTATTTATTAAGTATAATTCAGGTCAACTTTCCGGCACCATAGTTACTTGTTATAAGACTATGAAAACTTTACTCTGATAATATATGAGTTATTTTTAGCTAATTATCAACAATAAATGAGAATAAAGGTGAATATGAGTTTAGTAATTATAGAAATTGGTTAAAATTTTCTCTAACCATATTAATGTATTGTTACACTTTGGTGAATCGTGGTAGTTTATTTATCTTAGTTTACTGTTAAAGTCTACTGTTAAAGTTTTAAAGATGCATTTTCTGAAGCATCCTTAATGACTTACAGACAGTGTATTAACAATTTGCTTATCAACATATTCATTATCATTTAAGATTTTCTTATATCTCCTAGGAATTTATAGATTAGGACGAAATGCATGTCAAACTGAATTCCTCTATTAGCCATAACCAAGTAAATTACCATAATTAACATTCATACAATATTGAGGTATCCGTAAAAGAGCCCATATACCAAAAGATGTTGAACAATTCTACCTAGTAAAATAACGGAGAGTTACAAGCATATCAATAAATAGCAATATGTAGATTATCTTATATCCGGAGGTATAATGAATGTCTTCTGACAAATATATATCTATTTCAAGTTGTTATTCACCGCGGACTGACATCATTTGAAGGAACAAAGGAAACCTAGGAGCACTGGATAGCTGTTTCTTCTAAGTATGGGACGCCTCAGCAGTGCACACCCACGATCTCACCGTGACAGGGATCGAACCCGCGACCTCCAGGTTCCGTGGTCAGCACGTTACCATTGAGCCAGCCACTGGGTCAGGATTCAATCTTCCATATTTCCAACTTCTGTTAGCTCACGATATAGCGCAACCACCAACCAATGTCATCATTGAGTAATTGTCCTCACGACTAGCTTTGAGAGGTATTCCCGAAGTTCCAGTAAGAAGTTGTGACCGTTGGTGGTGAGGACAATTACTCAACGATGGCATTGGTTGGTGGTTGCGCTATATCATGAGCTAAAAGAAGTTGGAAATATGGACCACTGGGTTCCACTGACTCAGTGGCTAGCTCAATGGTAACGTGCTGACCACGGAACCTGAAGGTCGACGGTTCGATCCCTGGTGGGGTGGGGTCGTGGGTGCGCACTGCTGAGGAGTCCAATGCTAGTCGAAAGAAACAGGTGTCCAGTACTCCCAGGTTTCCTTTGCTCCTCCAAGTGATGTCAGTCTACGATGAATAACAACTTGGAGAATTTCCGAATCACCACAACTCCCTCTATATAGATATATATACAGGTGATCAATATTAGTTTCAGTGAGTTAAAGAAATCTAAACGTTATTTTTATCTCATTTAAAACAAGACTGTCTTATTCATTGTTTTACATATATACATCAAATTTCAGTGAGTCACTTCACCCGCATGAAAGTAATTTGGTTGCATTTCTGAAATCAGCAAAATCGTATGATTCAGTTCAATCAAGCTCCTATCCCAACAATTACTATCAGGTAAGATAAAAAAATAATTACATATTTATAATTATACAATAATAATAATGAAAATATCATAATATTATCAGACTGAAGAAGAGTAAGCATAAAGACAAAAGACACTTCTACGAAGCAATTGCAAATGGAGCAGAACAGGGTGGAGGTAGGAGAAACAGAGAGCTGAAAACATAACATCATATAACCAGGTTACTATCTCAGAAGAAATCAATACACCACAGATGAAACTAATGAAAGATAGTGAAGGAAACTTAGTTGCCACAAAAGAGAAGAAACAAAGAAAACGATATACTGACTGACTAACTGGAAAAACTTTCGAATCCACCACCACAATCACCACAACCACAAACTCCAACTCATCCAGAAATACAACCAGCAGCTCAATCACAGAATCATTAGGGAATTCATGAATGTCATAAAGTTGCTAAAAGCCGGGAAACTAGAAACACTGAAAACAGATGCAGAGACAACAACACACATACTCACACCACTACTGCAGAAGGTTTGTAATAAAGGAAGGGAGAGTACCTGCAGATTGGAAGAAGGACCACCTTGTCAAACTCTCAAACAACGGCGACCTACATCTTTGCAAGAACTGGAGAGGAATCATGCTCCTCTCCACACCAAGCAAAATATCATGCCGCATTATTCTGGAGAAACTAAACAATACACTGTGTTCCAAGTTATCACCGGATCAGGGTGGCTTGCTGGCTGGCTGGCTGGCTGGCTTCAGGAAGAATAAATCGTGTGCGGCTTCAATTGCAATGCTACGCTGTGCGTCATCATGGAATAGAGCATAGAACGGCCGTCCACCACACCTGTGCCTCAACTTCATTGACTTGGAAATGTCTTTAACAGCGTTTACTGAGAAGTAATTTGGCAGCTGCCTCAATACTACGGTTTTGGTGCCACAAACCCTTATCAATCTCATTCAACAACTATATGAAGACGCCACATGCCAAGGCAGCATCGTTTCAACTACAGGTGGTACAGGCACAGACGAGGATTTCGGAGCCAACCAGGATCAGAAAATCAAGACTGCCTTTCATTGATCTTAAATCAGTGTGTGGATCTACTTCACTCAGCATAAACCCTGAACAATATCCAGATTTTAAACACCAACGTCGTCAGTTCTGCTATATGGTGCAGAAACTTGGCGTGTCACAAAAAGCATTTTCAACAAACTACACACATTCGTCATCAACAGCTGCTGCCTATGCTCACTCGATACTCAAGATCAGATAAATGACCAGAAAAAAAATAAGCAACAAGGAACTCTAAAAACGAAGCAACGAAGTGAGAAGCTATCACACAACAACTATGCAGAATCAGAGGGTGGAGATGAGATGCGTTGGGCATACACTGAGAAGACCGATTGTGGACATCAGGCTACAGGCCAGTCTGTTGAGTGGAATGCAAAGGTGAAATGACGAGTTGGGCATCGCATCGGAGGCGAGAGTGATATGGAGGAGATGATGTGTGCGTAAGAAATGAAAGGTGTTTGGCAGTTGTGGTGCTAGGTTGAAAAGACTGGAGAGAAGAGAGTGGAATGGAGGCGTGCTACTGAAGCTGTGTTTCACTGGGAACCCAAGGGATAAATAATAATAAAAATAATCTGGTTGAATCCGACTGGTTTATTACAGAATAATTCAGATATTGGTTGAAAAAGAAACTGATTAACATATCTGCGTGTATTCTTCGGAAAATCGGCGATCCCAATGTGCTTTAAATGAACCATTTACTTTAGTTAAATATGAGTAGTATTTTACTGAAATATCTATCATCTTTCATCAGTTTATTCTATAATGAATTTCTCCTATGGATTACTTAGAAGTATAAAGATTCAACTGACTATTGGCAGCAACATCCTAGTTACATTCATTACAGTTTTTTGAATTTGTTATGTTATGATACAACCTTAAATAGTTGCATAATATCCAGATAGCTGTCTATAAAATTAGCGATACTATTCGCCATCATTAGGATATTAAAGCTTTTCTAATATCACAGTTCAGATAATTAATGTTAATGTATACCAATAAGTTTCACTTCTGATATGATATTAAATGCTGGTCAAGTTATCTTTAGGCTAGTCCACAATACTTTCATGTTGATGGATATGTTGACTATTATTCTTCAGAATACAAAGATTAAACGTGTAGAGAGTATAGCAAATGGTAGTTAATGTGTTTTTATAACCTTTGTTGCCACTTGTTATCATCATGTTGTTATTTGTTATATATACACACCAATACTTGAATAATGAAACTGTAGATTCTACTCTTTGATGGTCAATCAGTCTCTCGGTAACTTGGAAAGAGCGGTGATATAACACAAAGTATATTATAGCGTCAAAATCATATACAAAACACATAGGTTCTCATGAAACTTTGGTGCAACATGATTGGTTGTAGGGAGTTCCAGGGATTCATGGCTTTTCATGAAAGTTATAGCAGTTGTATTCCTCACCAAACACCTCCTTCTTGAAACAGAAATGGGTAGTACAATGGTGTCTTTTAATTGGTTGGTTAGATTTTTTCTAGATCTGCTGTGTCTGTGTTGTGATTTAATTCGAACCAACTGAACTGAATCCATAAAAACTGGCAATGAACCAAATGATTTACTGATAATTTGAAGTAGACTATTTGATGAATCTTTTCCTATGCTGATTGAAAGTGAAACGAAAATTTGGACTGTGGCCGGATTCGAACCAGTGATGACCTGGTTTCGAGCCCTATACTCTATCAACGGAACTACATGGTGCGACAGCTGATCAGATTTTGATTTCACTTTAATCACTGAAGATTTTGTTCGACAGCCATATGAATTCATGACGTATTACTACCCGTAAGTCGTATTCACACTGACTGCCTAGTCTGAACTTCTCATCCCAGTTTAAATCTAACTGAATTAGAGAGGAGGAGCATCATATTGATTCCTCAGTTGGATGAACTTGCCTCCTAATGAGTGATGTTGTTCCCACCAGTACTTGAACTTACTACAGCTTTATCCACTAGGATAAAACGTGAGTCAGTTTGGATTCCACTATTAGATATTATCCAACATTAATATATCAATCAAATGCAGATAAGATTGAGGCATCCACTGAGAAGCCCACATGCCAATAGAGACCGGTCGATTCAGTCCACTCAACGATGGGATAATACAAGTATCAACATTAGTGGGAACAAATATTTTACATTTTACAATCACCCGATGTAGGGTGTCTGGTGAAATAACACCCATCCACTTTATATCCTTACTTTCTCTTCGGTATACTTACAACTAATGACACATGAATTATGCAAGCAAAATAATTCTGACGTACATAATGCAATGAAACGAAATGACGAAGTATAGGCTTTAAGTCTCCAAACTAAACCAACAAATAATGCCAACTAGATGGTCATATAACTGTTTTAAAAACGCATAATAACATTACTATGGATAATAACAAAGATTTTATGATTATTACTTTTTTTCCTGCGTTCCTAGTGGAACATAGGGCTTCAGTAGCACATCACTATTGCACTGTCCTCTCTGCAGTCTTTTCAACCTGACTCCACAACTGACTAGAAGATTTCATTTCTTCCTCACACGACCTCCTCCATGTCACTGTCAGACGCCCAACTCGTCGTTTTGCATTTAGCCTGGAGCGTGATGTCCTCAAACGGTCTTCTCAGCAAATGTCCAGTCCTGTCCATTTCTACTTCCTTCTGTATATTTGTTGGGCAATAGGTTCTTAGTTCGTTGGTGAGTTTCTAGGCCACAATTCCTTCTCGCTTATCCTTCCTGGCCATCTGATCCCCATATTCAGTATCAAGTGAGTGTAGGCGGCAGCTGTTCATGTATGTCTGTAGTTTGTTGGAAATGGTTTTGGTAACGTGCTAACTCAACCATCACACAGGAGCACTGACTTACTTGACTGACTTAGTGTTGGTAGTCTGGATCTCGATCCACATGCTGAGTGCAGTGCAGTGCAATGCAGTAGATCTCCACAATGATTTCAGATCAATACACGAAGGCCTGTCTTGCGGAATGCGATTTCGCCTTTGTCAGAACACAGAGGGTAGGGTAAAAATACGTTCAAATTTCTTGCTACTTTTATATAGCATATAGATGGTGTTGAATGAGGTTGATAAGGGTTTGTGGCACCAAAACCGTAGTATTGAGGCAGCTGCCAAATTACTTCTCAGTAAACGCTGTTAAAGACATTTTCCAAGTCAATGAAGTTGAGGCACAGGTGTGGTGGACGGCCGTTCTATGCTCTATTCCATGATGACGCACAACGTAGCATTGCAATTCAACCCGCACACGATTTATTCTTCCTGAAGCCAGCCAGCCAGCCAGAAAGCCAGCCAGCCAGACAGCCAGCCAGCCAGTCAGCCAGCCAGCCAGTCAGCCAGCCACCCTGATCCGGTGATAACTTGGAACACAGTGTATTGTTTAGTTTCTCCAGAATAATGCGGCATGATATTTTGCTTGGTGTGGAGAGGAGCATGATTCCTCTCCAGTTCTTGCAAAGATGTAGGTCGCCGTTGTTTGAGAGTTTGACAAGGTGGTCCTTCTTCCAATCTGCAGGTACTCTCCCTTCCTTTATTACAAACCTTCTGCAGTAGTGGTGTGAGTATGTGTGTTGTTGTCTCTGCATCTGTTTTCAGTGTTCCTAGTTTCCCGGCTTTTAGCAACTTTATGACATTCATGAATTCCCTAATGATTCTGTGATTGAGCTGCTGGTTGTATTTCTGGATGAGTTGGAGTTTGTGGTTGTGGTGATTGTGGTGGTGGATTCGAAAGTTTTTCCAGTTAGTCAGTCAGTATATCGTTTTCTTTGTTTCTTCTCTTTTGTGGCAACTAAGTTTCCTTCACTATCTTTCATTAGTTTCATCTGTGGTGTATTGATTTCTTCTGAGATAGTAACCTGGTTATATGATGTTATGTTTTCAGCTCTCTGTTTCTCCTACCTCCACCCTGTTCTGCTCCATTTGCAAGTGCTTCGTAGAAGTGTCTTTTGTCTTCGTGTGCACTCTTCGTAACTTATTTGTCCAGTAGTATGGTGTTTTATAGGTTCTATTCAGTTCCTCTTTTCGTCGTTCATCCCTGCACCACACTGGTTCATCTTCTTCTTCACCACCTCTCTCTCCTTTCTCTATTAACTTCCATGTATCGTTAGAGATCCATTCCTTGTCTTGCTTCGTCTTCCTTCTTAACACGGTTATGCAGTCTTCCTACAACGTCATTTTCACAGGTTTCCGGCTTTCTTCCACGTATTTTTCCTTAATGGTGTTGCTTAATGTCTCGTATTTTTTCCCAATGACTGGCTGAAGATGTCCTTTGTAGTTTATTCCTTCAGTTTATGCTCTAGATAGTGAACTTGAACTGCGACGTATCACCAACTTCTCTGAAAGCTTTAAACTTGATTTGAAGGTAGGTTCCTTGGACTTGATAGTGGCTGATCTGAACCTACATCTGCTCCCCTTCTTGATCTGATCTTGTGTCCAGTAGACTGACTGCATCTCCACTTTCTTTACGTTGAGATGAAGTTGATCTGATTTGTGGTGTAGTGTGTCCTGGTGTCTGGTGAAATCAAATCCAAGTAGCCCACTTTGTGAATATCCTTGTGTTTGTACACACTGCCTCGTCTCCAATCACCAAATCGTTGAATTCACAGAATTCTGCAAATATTTCTCCATTATCGTTCATCATTTCACCAAGTACTTCTCGATCCATGGTTGGTTCTCTTCCTGTGTTGTCCGTTCCTAATTTGGCCTTCATATCACCCCACTCATCAGAATTTTGATGTCACCATCTGGATTGGGTCTTGTCCAGTACTGATTGCAGTTATCTGTTGAATTCCTCCCTCCTCTTTTCATCTGTGTCTGCATTATTTGTAGGTGCGTAGTGTAGCATTGTATGATTGTGGCTTTCCTTCCTGTTGATTTGAATCTTGCTGTCATGATGGCGATCCTGGAGGAGATTGGCTGCCACCGCATGATAGCCTTCGATGTTTTTGGGGGACATCATGATAGCCACTCCAAAACTGATGGTTGTCGTCTGGGTGACAATACGGAGTAGATTATTGACTCCTCTTCAGTTGACAGTTTGGAGACTCCACTTCCATTCTGCCTGCTTTCGCAGATTCCAATCACTTCTATGTCATACCTTCTTATCTCTATGGAAATCTGCGCAGTCTTACCAGCCAACTTCAAACGTTGTGCGAACATCCCATGTCCCTATGCTTACTTGTGGTTTCATCGAGAGAAAACACATCAGGCAACTGGCTTCCCGAAGGCTTTCACCAAACAGAGTCATTTTGTCTCCTCGATTCCAGAGGGGAATAAGTTTTTATCTTGTTTTATAGTTTTTTTTCAGTATTTTCTCCATGCCTTGAAGTTTCTTTAGCCATTGGATTGGTTTTACTGGGTAGGGTTGCTAGCCCTATGCTCAACCTTCCCTCCTTACCCGGGCTTACAACCGGCCAGTGACTAGTGAACTAGTCAACCCAGTGAGGTTGGAGAAACAGTGAAAACCTGGGAACACTGGGTCATGGTAAGGAGCATAGGTGTGCACTTCTGAGGACTCCTATATTAGAACAAACTAGCTATCCTATGCTCTCATGCTTTCAATTTTTTTAAGACTGATATCAATCGATGATGAATTCCGACCTAAAATCTCATAACTGCGAAATGCAGAGTCCCTTCTACGAAATCAAACCATGGTTTCTTATTGAAACCAAAATACTTAGATGGTATGAAATAATCTACTGAACATCACAAATGGTACCAGGACTGATAGCATGAAAGTTGTACAAAATGCACCACTGACTAACAAGAATAGTTTAAACACTTTAACTGTCTGATCTAGATCAGTTTAGGTACACTGCTAATCAGCTGAACCCTGGAACAATGAAATAGCTATCTGGTGTTTAGATCACTTCGATTTTACGAGAACACTCTGTTGATTAGTGTACGTGGTTTTGAACGACTCATATCAGTCAGGAATATGTTCTCAGCTTTCATCTTGATCTTAGTCGTCTAAAATGGTTAGAATCCTTACTTCTGAAGCTATGATTATTGGATTACAGTCTAATTGTAGAGGTTTAAAGTAGGCTGAAAAGTATTTTATCGATCCTACACTACTGAAAACTAACAAGAGAAAAAAAACGACAGAATCGTGTTTATGATTTTGATCACCTGAGGTAGCCCGGTTCAGCAGATTTATATTCATACTGGATAATAATTAAAAGTGAGGTGAAAACTTGAGGCACGGTAGGATTTCTAACTAGCGATCATAGGGTTCCCTTATAGTGACCCTGTCCTGTCCACCCAAGCAAAATATTATGCCGCATCATCATAAAAAGACTAAACCATGCGCTGCATTCAAAACTACGACTAGAACAAGCTGGCTGGCTTCAGGAAATACAAATCATGTGCGCATCAAATTGCAACGCCACTCTACGCATCATCATTGAACAGAATATAGAATAGCAGTCAAATCTCTACCTCAACTTTATCGACTTGGAAAAGGCTTCGACAGCGTCAACCGACAAGTAATTTGGTAGTTGCTTCTACACTACGGAATACCATAAACCTTTATCAATCTCATTTAACAACTATATGAAGACGCCACATGCGAAGTAATTCACAATGCGAAGCTCAGTGATGCCTTTGAAGTGAAGACAGGAGTGAAACAAGGCTGTCAACTTTCACCCACGATATTCCTGATTGTAGTGGACTGGACCATGCAACAAACAGTGAGGATCAAGAAGAGGGGGATATACCCGGCTGGACCACAGAAAAGAACCTAGAAGATTTGGATTTCGCTGATCATGATTTGTGTCTAGTGTTACACATACATGAAGATGTACAGGCGAAAACTAACAAGTTGACAGAGGAGGCAGGGTAACGAGGACACGACTTCAACTACACGCGGAGCAGGCACAGACGAGGAGGTCAAAGACAGTCAGGATCAGAAAGACAGCAACACAGGCCTTCATTAAACTGAAACCATTAGGTAGATCTTCTGCACTCCACTCAGCATGTGGAACAACATCAGGATATTCAACACCAAATTACTCAAGTCAGTGTTTCTGTATGGCTCAGAGACTTGGCACATGACTTAAAACATTTCCAACTAACTACACACAGTAATCAACAACTGCCTACACTGGCTCATTACTGAAGATCACATGGTGACAGCAGTGAGAATAAGCAACAAGGAACTGTGGATGGTGACGAACCAACGAAGTAAGAACCCATCGCTCAACAAATATGCACTGGAAGGGATTGGGCATACACTAAGAAAGCTGACTGGAGACATCATGCGTCAATCGAGGCCATTCGCTCGAGTGGAACCTAGATGGGAAACGATGAGTTGGGCATTAGAGTCGAAGTGTCATGGAAGAGATCATACAAGGAAGAAATAAAATTTGATCAGATTTATATTTTACTATAATCACTATTAAATTGATTTTTTCATTGATTAATTTTCTTTTTTTTTTACAGGAAAAAGTTGTATTCATAGTTACACGTGTAGAATATGCTAATTTATATCATTCAATGACTGATTGGTATAATACATTTCTTGTAATGAAATTACTTAATTTATCCTCATCTAATATACATATCTTATTAACTGATGGTCATCCTATTGGTGGATTAGATGAAGTATGGTATAAGTTATTTCATTCAGTATCAAGAATTGGTGTATATAGAAGACAGTATAATGATAAATATCTTGATAAACTTCATATCTTACCTATGAATGAAAAAGGTTTATTAAATATTGGTAAAATTGTATTTATACCATATGGTTATGCAAGTCCTTTATATGTAGATAATAATAATAATAATAATAATAATGTAATTAATAATAATATGTTTATTGAAGAATTTCGAAATTTTATAATTGAAAATTATCAATTAAATAATGAAATAAATATTTGTAAAAATAAAAAATTATTAGAAATTTATTTATTACCAAAAATTATAATTATTAGTCGACAGAATTATAATGCTCATCCACGTAATATGAAAGGCGTAATTAATCGTAAAATAATTAATGAAAAAGAACTTTTATTTAGTATAAAACAATTAGGTTTTAATAATTCATTAATTATTAATTTAATTAATTTAAATATATATGAACAAATTAAATTAATTAGTACAACTGATATATTAATTGGTATGCATGGTGCAGGTTTAACATATACATTATTATTACCTAAAATATCATATCTTATTGAATTATTTCCTGCATATTGTTGTATATCAAATAAACACTTTAGAAAATTTTCTCAATTACATGGAATTATGTATTCAGCTTATTATGGTTTGCCAAAAAATGATAAAGATATTTATTCATCATATATTCCAGTGAATGATTTTAAAAAACTTGTTTTACATGCTTATCAATTATGGAAAAATGAAATGATAAAGAAACATAGAAATTGTATGATATAGTTGAATACTTAGCTGAATATATGATCTTAGTAGCGCACTTCAATGAAACTCTATTCTCTGAAGTCTTTTCTATCTTCATATCATCTTCTGTTTGTCATCCAATTCGTCATTTCCCCCCTTGGGATTAAAGTGTATACTCAATCTATCTCCATCTTATGATTCTGTATCAAGTGAGTGTAGATGGCATCTGTTGTCTTTCTGATCCTGTCTGGTTTTGATATCGTCATCTGTGCCTCTGCCGATAGTGATTGCTTAGGTAGATTTCTCCCGTTCTTGTTCTTGTTGTTGTTGGTGGTGGTGGTGATGTTGGTTGGATATCTTCATCACTTGTGCCTTCTTCACATTCACTCGAAGTCCACATTATGGATGAAATACAAATCTTCTTCTTAAGACTTTTCATTGGTCCAGTCTATGATCGTTTTTATTGCTCCTCATGATTTACTGTATTATCCAAGTGTTACTACCTTTTTATTACAAGAAAATACTTCCCTTTTTATAATTTCAACTAAAGAGATAACAAAGGAATTGACTGTGATACACGTCTATAATTTCATAGGCATCATATCATTATGCTTTAGACTCAAGAAAACTACTTTTATACAGATAAAACTTTTTCATACTTATTGTAATTGTAATTACTGGAAGAAAACTTTTTATAATGTTTAACTGTTTTATTTGGTTTATTCTGTTAATTTGAATACAAATTGTTTTATGTAACCATAAAATGGAACTTTGTTCTGACAGTCACTTGAAATCGCTTCATTGAGCTCAGTGTAAAGTTTTGGGCATTGTTGTAGAATGTAATCCTAAATAATAATCACTAAAAGGGATAGACCAATAAGGTTTCATTTCAGAAAGCAACTTCGAAATGCTGAAGCCTACTGGAATCACTACACCTAGACTTTACGGTCTACGAAAACTGCGAAAAAATGGTCTACCTCTACAACCAGTTCTTGACATGACTAACTCTCTATATCAGCAAAATGGTTAGTACAACTTTTGAAGCCTGTTCACAAACAACTTGTGAAGTATTTGCAATGAACTCACGAAGCACGGCATGGAAATAGGTGTTCTAGTCTCCACATTGGAAGAACTACAATGAATGCACAATTTCTTTTCAACAATCGACTCTACCGGAAATCTGATAGCGTTGCTATAGGGTCTCCTCTTGACCCGCTCTTAGCAAACTTTTTTTCTGACAAAACTTGAGAATCGTCCACTGAACGATACTATTAGCCGTTTGTAGTTATATTGTCATTACATGGATGATACCTTAATAGTTCTCAAAAGTGAGACTGATAAGAATGCTGTTCTGAATAAGTTCAATAGTGTTCATCCGGCAATCAACTTCACAATGGAAGAGGAGAAAAATGATAGTATCCGATTTCTTGGTGTTACGTTGGTAAGAAGGTCAGATGGAACACTGGAGCGAAGTGTTTATAGAAAGCCAACATCAACAAGTCAATATACGCACTTCTTTAGTGCTATACCCTTCCAATACAAAAGGAACCTAGTGAAATGCTTAGCATACCGTGCATATGCTATTTGCTCAGAGGATGCTATAAAGGAAGAGTGCACCACCATCCGTGATCTGCTTAGTAGGAATTGCTACCCAGACAAGTTTGAAACTAAGCACATGAATATTACCAGGGTTAAGACAACAATGCCAACAGTTCCTAAGAAGCAAATCTTCTTGAAGCTGGAATTTAAGAGTGATATTGCCAGTGAGATCATCATACAATGCATAAAAAGAGTCTTGCATAAAGCATTCCCAGCCACTAAATTATGTCCTGCCTTCTACAACCGCCCGATTCTAGGTGCAAGAAATAAAGACAGACTGTCTGATTCTGCCACTTCTATGTGCATTTATCAATTGAACTGCTCCTGTTGAGCGAGTTAAATTGGCCGTAAAATGAGACAGTTCCATCGTCGAATTTCTGAACATCACCCGTCATGGTTGAACAAGGGACAGATTGGAACTATAAAGACCTCCATATATGCACACTTAGTTGACACAGGACATCAAGTGGTAACTGGGAAAGCCTTCAAAATCATCTATCAGATTTCAATTATTCATTTATTTGATATACAGCACAGAATGATACAGTATTACTTACCTGATGAAGTTTCCAGCATAAATTATCAATGCTCATAATCATACCAGATGTAAACACTCACGAATTTTGATATCTGAGTTTTATAGTCGCAATATCCATATCTCCAGTATACGTGTTGCATCACGCTCACTACATGTGTGTTGGATGCCGGTTGGATGAACAACGATTCAGTAATCAATCTCACCCCTCTATCCATTTAATTATATTGGACTTAAGTATAGTGGTTTTATCCCACCTTGTTGTGTGTGATTGTGTGTTAATGCATACATAGCAATAACCGGGATTCTCTTCTACATTACTGATCTTATTCGGGTATCATTCTATATTTAGCTAAATTTCTATTCTGTCTGACCCCAACCGGCTAGTTCCACCTATGTGTTTAGTCTCACAGTCATTGCATGGAATTTGATAGATTAGATTATTTCGTTGAACTAGTTCTATAAGACGCTTAAGCCAGCCGACAAAGCTTATCTCTGAGTGAGTTGGTAGGTTTATATTCCACCCCAAATGATTCCAGCATTGTTTAGAATCCTGCGTAAACTTTCTGATGTTCCTTCCTTATAGGATAACACAATGGAGGCTATGAACTTCCATCTATTTGTGTTGTCGTTATTATTCATACTCGTGTTATTGTTATAATTTTGTTTCTCATGTGTTTGTTCGAATTGTTAATAAACGTTAAAGGATAATTATTAATTATTAGCGCCTTTTTTTAAATGTATTTCAACTCCTTATTTGTTCCCTTCACCGACTAGCGAGTTTTCTACATTTATCATTTAGTTATTTGACTAAACCTGGAATGTGTAGATTTCCTGTAGACGGTAGTATCTAAACCATCACCTGTCCTTCATTTTCCTCTGTAATCCAGTATGGTTAATTCTCCTTGTTCATTTTCTACCTAGTGAGTGAAGTCGATTGTGCCTTCTACTGAGTTTATGTATGAAGAAAATGTCGATATATTCTGATTATTATGTTGGTAGATCTTATTCAGTGTAATATTTGAATCGACCAAATTCCATGCAGTGTCTGTGTAGTCAAGTACATGGATTAGACTAGCCGGTTGTGGTTAGTTGGATTAGTAGAACATAAGAATGGAGCTAAAATATAGAATGACGAACACTGATAAGATCAATAATCTGGAAAAATAAAAGACTCGGCTATTACATTGCATGTAATAACTCACAACCACACACAACAGGGTGGGATAAAACCACATTTCCACTTAAGTTCAACATAATTAGGTGGAGACGACGAAATCGATTGCTAAATCGTCATTCATCGAATCGGTATTCAATATACCATGTAATGGGAATGACACTACACTTATACCAGAGATGTGGAAGAGCTTTCAGTACGAATAATACCAAATAGTATGAAGTGGGTGATGTACCCAGTCGGCTTTCTCAGTGTATGCTAAATCCATCTCCACTTCCTTCTTGTTTATTCTTTCTCGCTATCCATCTGATCTTCAGTATCGAGTGAGTGTAGATGGCATCTATTGATGAATGTGTATAGTTTTAGTGAAAATGCTTTTCATAATACGCCATGTCTCTCAACTATCACATAGAAGCACTGACTTACCTAACTGAACTGGTGTTGACAATCCGGATGTTGTTCACACTTTATGCTAAGTGAAGTGCAGTGTAGTAGATCTCCATATTGATTTCAGATTAGTGAATGCCTGTCTTACTGTCTTTCTGATCCTGACTGGTTTTGACATCGTCGTCTGTGCCTTTGCCGCGTATAGTTGAAAAGATGCTGCCTGATTAGATAGGTTTAAAATTGGATGTCGAAAGTTTTGTGATTACATATTGATATGATAATGAGAAATGATAATTTATGCTCCAAACATCATTACGTTTCACTGTGCGTTATACACCAAGTGAACAAATCTTATTCGAAGAAAACTAGCTATATGATATAATATGAAATCGTTTTGTTAACAGTTAAGAGAAAGTGAATAATATCAGTTACTTAAATGACAGGTATGTATACATACCAATCTTCTGTTTTGGTGTTCGATTAACACAGAACATTTCTGCTTTCAAAATATGTGTATGAGAGTGTCAGTAACATGGTATTTTAGTCATAACTGTGAATTGAACTAGTCAGGCTAAGAAACTTAAGTTTCATATACGTCGCCCTCCCTCCTGGCAACTTACTTTTTGAATTAACTTTCATTACTTGCTTTGATTAGGATCAATTTACTAATCCTATTGATCTGTTCTAAATCGTTTACATAATCTAGTCGAACAGGGGATCAGTAGTGACTTGAACAAACTAATGGTTGATTGAGTATCTAAAATCAGCACTAAATGACGTAAGTCTGGATCATTAGGCGAACACTAGTGGCTAGCAGTGGAATCTAAGATGCGCATTTCGTCCTATTTCTGATTCATCAGGTGGATATACCTACCTTCCAGTGAGTGATGTTTTTCCACTGGGATTTAGACTCAGGAGCGATCGCTTCAAACCTTAGAGCGTTATCCAATACACGCAATCAATCATTATTATTATGTTATTATTTCTCCCTTGGGTTCCTAATGGAACATAGGGCTTCAGTAGCACATTTCCATTACACTCACTTATCTGCAATCTTTTGAACCCGGCTGCATGACAGCCCACAAGCTCTCATTTCCTCCCCGCACGATCTCCTCCATGTCACCTTCGACTCTAATGCCCAACTCGTCGTTTCCCATCTAGGTTCCACTCAAGCAGCTGGCTTGGCCTGATGCGTGATGTCCCCAGTCAGCCTTCTCAGTGTATGCCAATTCAATCCATCTCCATTCCCTTCCAGTGCACATTTGTTGAGCGATGGGTTCTTACTTCGTTGGTTCGTCACCACCCAGAGTTCTTTGTTGCTTATTCTCATTGCTGTCATCATCTGATCTTCAGTAATGAGCCAGTGTAGGCAGTTGTTGATTACTGTGTGTAGTTAGTTGGAAATGTTTTAAGTCATGTGCCAAGTCTCTGAGCCATACAGAAACACTGACTTGAGTAAGTTGGTGTTGAAAATCCTGATGTTGTTCCACATGCTGAGTGGAGTGCAGAAGATCTACCTAATGGTTTCAGTTTAATGAACGCCTGTGTTGCTGTCTTTCTGATCCTGACTGTCTTTGACCTCCTCGTCTATGCCTGTTTCGAGTGTAGTTGAGACAGTGCTGTCTAGATAGGTTAACTAGTCTACTTCCTTAAAGTTTCTCCCACTGATGGTGACTGGAGCTTTCTGCTGTTGGTGGTGGTGTTGTTGGTTGGGTATCTTCATCCTAGTGGAGAAGATATGTAGGCCAGGATGAAGATGATAAACCATTCCCACCACTTTCAATTATGTAGATACATCTGCCTCTATTCTGCAGATGATAGTAAACTGATGTGATACATATCATATAATAGTCACACAAATACGTCGTGATTCACTGTAGCACATATTCTTTTGTACTTTCGTGAACTCCTGTAGATATTCTCACCCTATGAATATCATCTGTTTCTGATGAAAGTTAGTTGATCCTAAGCTTCAGAACTTTATTTAAAAGATCTTGATGTATAAATGTTACTTCTTTTATGATAAACACTAAGCTGGGTTGTTGTAATCAGTGATAATTTCTCATGATTGGACACTACGGCTTCATGTAGCCTTGCGTAGATGCCTCAGGGAGTAAAATATCATCCAATAGGAGGTAGGCACACGCAGCTGACAATCGTCAAACAGCATGTAATACAAATCATAGGTTCCACTATCAAGAAAGTATTACTGTTAACCTAGAATGTCTTTTTCAAATTATGCGCCTAATGTTAGAGAAGATAAACACGCTAATACTTTCTTTGAGTATACTACCAAAATTATTCTGACGAAGTCTAAAATTTGACCCCAATAAATAAATAGTTAGCCACAAACAATAACACGCTTAAAC